GCGGAACCCCTTATATCGCATTAACCGAGTAGATCGACCAGAGTTTTGGGTCTGATATGTTTACTTCTTTCCCCGAATTTTAGCCATGTCCGCATATAGGAAAAAAAGAAAGGATTACAGTTGTTAGCGAATCGCTCTCGCTTTTTCCCAAAGGTATGGGTTTTTGAGAAGCGTCCCAACTCTAGTGTCGAATCTATGATGGTCCCGGTTTACGAGAAAGACTTCCGCAGTGGTTGCGCCATTTGTCGATCGTGACGAGCGAAGACATAATATTGAAAATCCAGCGTCATAGTTGCACTACTTTCATCGCACAAGATACTTAATAAATAAATTGTATATTTATCGACGGTGCGAGACACCGACTAAATGCGTAGTCTGCTCGTGACGTACTCGGATGTTGGAGAAAATATTTCAGTTTCACAATATAGGTCCCAGAGAAATTTTGCGATATCAATTATTTTAAAGTGCTGAAAATGTAGAGGTATAGCGTAGGAATCAATGTAGGCATTGCAAGCATTTCAAGTAAACTGATGTGACTATCCTTGGAACCGTCTCCTAGGGAGCTGCTTCCATGCGGCGTAGTCCGTCGAAAGGTTTCAATCTCATTTCCACCCCTCATCCGGATATGTGATAAAATGGAATAAAGGCAGGTTGTTCATCATCATGTTGACTGGTTTTTTGGCCTCTGTTGTAAGCAATATGCCTGAGCCACATACCAACTCTGCAACCGTTTATGGGCTTAGTGAGTTAGTACAGTGCATTTATTCCTGGATTCTTCGACTTCGCGGGCCAGTGAATGAGCTTCTGGGTAAAAATACTCCCTGGTTTTGGTCATCCCAATGTGTGGAAGCGTTTAGGCACATTAAGGAGGCTCTCGTGTCTGGCTTAATGCTCGCACATTGTGCTCCAAAAGCAGATATCATAGTCTTCGCAGATGCTTCCAGTTATGGTGCTAGAGCGATCCTTCATCAGCGGTTTGATTTTAGCAACATGAGGTCGGTTCTGTACGCATCACGTACTTTAACTAAATATGTAAGAAACTACTCACATATTCAGAAAGAGGCACTAGCTTTATCTTTTGCTATTAGGATGTTTCACCGGATGTTGCATGGGAGGTAATTTGCATTGGTTGGCCATAAACCATTATTGGCCATTTTCGGTTCAAAGAAGGGCATACCTGTGTATATGGTGAATCGCCCCCAACGTTGGGCGACACTGTTGCTCGGATATAACGTTACAATTGTTCATGTGCCCACGGCAGATTTCAGCTACGCTGATGCGTTGTCGCAAATTATCACAAAACAGTCGAGCACAGAAGAAAACCAGGTGATCGCGTCAGTTGCGCTTGAATCGGACGTGAAACGGGTCCTATGTAACTTAATCAGAGCTCTTCCGATTACTTCTATGCATTCTGGGGCATACCAAACTCGACCATATTTTGCAAAACGTTTTTCCTTTTTAAACACAAAATGGTCAAACCGGATTATTGACGTGCACCTTCACCAATTGTATTGTCGACGTGACTCCTTGACACCGGTTGATGATTGTCTTATGTTCGGTGGACCCGTGATTGTCCCTAACTCCTTGCAGGCAAGGTTACTAAGGTATTTTCACATGCATCACCCCTGAATATCACAGATGAAAGCTCTAGCAAGAAGTTGTGCATACTAACCTTTTATTAACAAGTCATGTTGACTTTATCTAGTATTGTGTCCCCATAAGTAGCAAATTCGGGCAAATGCATTCAATTTTGGATGCCAACCACCAAGCCTTGGGAGATAATTTACGTTGATTTCCCTGGTCCATTGCAAGGCTAGCTTTTTAATTGTGCTTGATGCGTACTCCAAGTGCCCGGACATATACCTGATGAACACAACCACGACAGCGGCCAAAGTACGATCACTACAGTTATTTGTATGGTTCGGTTCACTAAACATCTTGGTTTCCGATACTGGTTCTCAATTTATCTCCGATGATTTCGGTGATTTCGATTCAGCCTAATGGTATTAAGAACTGCCGGTCGCCTCCGGGGCATCCGCATTGTGGTGTGAGCACGGTAGTTGCAGCTGTTGGTATTCCCATACACACTCGGTAGGAACAGGCATTAGGCTGCGCGATCGATTGTGCGCCGATAATCCAGTAACAACGCCGGCACACTTGAGCGAGAGTCGCTTGGTAAGCCCGCATAACCAACTTCTTCGATCGATTAATATGGTGGGTTTCTGCCAGACGCAGCCAATCAGTGGAACGGGGCTTTGGTTACCCTATAAACAAAACATTGCCTTCTAATCCAAATAAATTCTAATCGCAGCCCAGTCTTTGCTTTTGATTTTCGGAGGGCGTTACACGACATGGTGACAGAGGTGAGCAATCAGAAAGAGTCGTGGATACCTCCGAAAGTTCACTTCTAAAACTGCGGGGGGAAAGAACGGATAGAGGCGATCATACAGCTGTACCTGTTACGCTATCGGGCTGCGCCTAACTCCGCTGTACCAGAGTCACATACCCAGCACAAGAATTGTTCAGACGTGAGATGCGTATCCCAATAGAAGCAATACGCCGGAAAGTGACGCAACGGCCAATCGCGTCAGGCGTGGGCAGGAGTTTTATACCGGGGGAGCCTGTGCCTGCGTTGGATACAAGGCCGAATCACCGATCCTGGCACCGTGCTGTACGAGGTATTTAACGGACCGTTGTCTTGTAAGGCACGTTGCTCAATTACGCAGACGATGGATCGAACACCCAAGCACTTCTACTTCGAGTTGCGGCTCGACAAGGTTGAAGTACCAAAAACTTTGGACTTCAGTGTGCCGTCGGAGACCTGTATAATGCCATGCCACGGAGTCACTCGGAGACCTATGCGGACAACTAAACCGATCCGACGTTTACAGGTGAACCCAGCACTATTCGTACGAGTCTGGAGAATGTAATTTCAAAGGGGAGATGTTACGCCAGATGATCTGGTTCAACAAAAGTACAACGTCGTCCCACACCCCTAACCATGAACTTTACTCTCACCCTTTGCTCTACTGCGGCTGTGCACATGACACACTCTCTCACTACCCTATCTTGTCCGCTATCTTGCCTGTGTCATGTGACTTGACGTTTGGTTAGTACACTGTCCGGTGCAGTGAAGTCTTTGTTATGACGGCTCTACGCCCCATCAACCGTGAGTATAACACAAGCATAAGCCATTTTTTGGTACCTAAAGTACTACATTTTTCATTAACTATTTTCGATAATCCTACCAGACCACTTAACGGGAGTTGAAAATCAATCTTTCATAACCCGTATAAAGTCATTGTTGACTGTTCAATAGACGCTTGCTTTTCAAGTACCAGGGGACGCTTACTGTGACACAATTATTCCTGTATGTATACCCTCATAAATGCCGGGTGGAAAGATGTGTTGAAGTTTCCAGAATATGAGCTCATTTCACCCTTTTCTTCTGTAGCACCGGGAATTCAAAGTAAACCAGCGCATCAAAGAAATGGAGTTGATGAGCAGGCTAGCTGAGGCTAATCTCCGTTTGTCTCATGCCGAGATATCCTACCAGCAGGACACAGCTTGGATAGAATTGAACAAAGCACATGAAGCCGCCTCCGATCTGTTGACTCCTACGCACTCACCACCCGATGTGCCCCATCCAGGTTATCCATCGTCGGACGGACGCTATCCTGACCGACCAGCCACTGACGAGGTCGTGAAGGTTCGCCCATCGTTGGAGCATTCTATTACCAGGATGGAAGTCAGCAGGCGTCCGAAAGATCAGGTTAGTGCACCAGAAATTCTTAGTGATTGAGATATACAATCAATCCATATGGAACTTTAGTTTCATGACATGGTGAACCGTCAGTTAGCTTGCTCATTACCACATTGTATGTACCATATGTCTGGTTTGCGACACGAAATCTCGATTGAGGTTACAGTTTGCTTTGAAGCAAAACTATGCCATTTCGATCACTGGGACCGCATCGGGTGGAGGGGTTCGGAGCTTCTCTCTCACAGCACTGCACGTTTCGTCATTAAGTTTAACACCCTGGTTAGTGGAGCATCGAAAACCAAGACTAGCAGTTCGAGAAACAAGGCGTCTTTTATACGGAGTAGGACAGGCAAAGCATGGTGATGCGCAACGCGGTGCGGTATGCCCACAAAACCGATCCGAGTGCGAGTACCTGGAAGGCCTATGTTGTCCACCGTAACCACTACCCAGTTAGTGCGCGAGGACAAGGTAACTTATCAACATACTTTGACCAAGCGATTAACTTCAAATCCTGAGCTTCTGTACAAGCATGTGAACAGCCTCCCCAAGGTGAGCTGTGGATTTCCCCCTCTTCAAACACCGGATGATCTAAATCGGACTGCTAAAGAAGCGTCGAAGATACTGCAACAACAATATGCATCAACGTTTCATTGTATCTCGTGGTCCCTTGGATCTTTGGAAACTATGGTGCATCTATCAGGATTCGCACATACATGTTTTACGACAGACACCGTGATGAGAAAGATACTATCCATGCGCCTGCACTCCTGTTCAGGAATTGATGACATCTGCCCAAGGACGCTAGTTGTGGTAGCTAACGTTTTTGCTGAAGCTCTAGCGTGGCTATTGCAGCACTTCCTTGATGAGAGGCGTGTTCATGCAATGTGGAAACACGGGCTAATCACTCCAATTTACAAAGGGGGTAGTCGTTCCGACCCAGCTCATTATCGACCAGTGACTCTTCTGCAGGTTCTTTCAAAAGTTATGCATGTTATCATTGCCTACTCATTCATGCCTTATCTGGACGGCCTTGGTCACATTGCTCAGCAGCAACACGGCTTCCGCCAGAATTAGTTGTGCACAACCAATCTAGTGTTAGCACGAAAGAGTTGGACCGAAACGGTGGATGCAGACGCAGTAGTTGATGTAGCTTACCTTGATTTCTCTGAGGCACTCGACCGGTTGGACCATCGTATCCTTCTCGCAGAATTTCTCAGGTGGATCTGCAATTTTCTCTCGCACAGGCGGCCGGAAGTGTTTATGTGAATCTATGTCAGACCCAATTTACGTCGAATGCGGTGTGTCACAGGGTTCGTTACAGGGGCCCCGTCAATTTTTCATCTTCATAAACGATCAAGTGAGCCAAATTAAGTCAAATTATTTACTCTACACCAATGACATTAAAGTGTGGCGAGTGATCGGAGCTCTAGAAGACCTTGTCCACCTTCAAGACGAACTTGACAAGATTAATGGGTGGTCGGTTCAAAATTTCCTTTTATTCAATGTGACTAAATGTCGAGGGGTCCATTTACGACACCGGAAGGGGGACCAGGATCTGCAACACTGTTCTCTCGAAAAGGATATCGGTGTGCTGGTCTACGAAGATCTCGGCTGCTCGGAACAGTCCCAAAAAGCATCAAAGTAGGAGGTCCAAATCTCGGGGATTTTACGGAGATCTTCGGTCAGTTCGAACCTTTTATTTTCTGCCAACTATTTCCCGCTTACATACACCCTCATGTTGAATATGCAATTCA